GAAGCTAGCAACACACACTGCCGTCGGTACTGTCGTTGGTATTGGGCTGGGATATGGTTGGGTTTGCGGGTCCGGCGAAGGCGGATGAATATATCCAATACATTCAAGGTTAATGGAGAGGCCCAGTCATGTGCAGTTTGCAAGCGGCAGGCTAGGTAGGGATGACAAAGATGAAAAAAAGAAGATCTTCCTTAGGGATTATTTGATAGGTTTGAACTAACAATTCCTTCGTATCTACTTTGGACAAGAGCCGGTTCCTGATCTGAGCCCTCTGCTCCGACCCACAATACTCAGCGACATGGCGATGTTTACATTGTTCGCAGCTGGGGGGTTGTTTATGGGTGGAGAAACGGGACTTATCACTGGCGTTTATTCCGCCCGGAGGACAATAGGGAAGGACCCTGAGTCAAAGGAGAGGATCCAGCGTGCGTTTGAGAAACTGAGGGCAGAGATGCTTCGGCGGCAGGCGGATGCGCTTGATGGCGGCCAGTCGGTTTCTGAAAAAGTGGCGGAAATATTTTAACTGGTAAAACAGTGTTTTCCAATCGTTTGGGATTCTGGGATGTTCAAAAATTTTAGTATATAAAATGACATCCTTCTTGCCGTTCAGTTCAACTTTGTTAGGAGCTCTCCCAGTGCACGTGAACCCGCCAGCCCTAAGGAAGTCCAGATGTAAAAGTGGGAACGAACTGTGATCAAGAACGTTGAGATGGAGCCGAGCCAGCCAACTCTTCCCGGATATCCCGGACTTACGCAATAGTTGCATTTTTGCCTGTTGAATCCTCCGTACAATATCTGGAATGATTCTCTATTTCTTTTTTTTCCTGATTCTCCGTTGGCGGCTGAAAACATCGAACCGACCTTGAAAAACTGACCGTGAAGAAACTTGTATGAAAGGCTCGACCGCAACCAACATCTTGGTAGAGATGTTTCATTGGGAGATTACATTGATAGTAAAACATGATCAATCACCTTTTGTTGTAATATAACCCAACTAAATTACCAGCCTACAAGTGCCTGAAGAGCTTGGTGAGGATTTCCCTTGGTGGGTCTGTTTCCATAATTTGTACTCCCTGTATAGATACCTACTATCCCTTATTTGACATAATTATTTTTTGGGAAACCTACTTATCCTCAGTAAAAGTCACTGCGAGGCACAGATTTGTCGGGTTATTTAAACTTCGAGGTTCCGAACGGGCTCCCAGCCTTCCCAAAGTTAAACATTTCCCCCAAGTTTTCGCCTTTCCGGATAAGAGCGCATCTTTTGTTTCCCACTACTCCTTGAACACCAAACGCGTTTGACTTCTTGACTACTAGTGTCCATGGGGTTTGAGCAAACACCCTTTCGGCCCCTATATTTGGCTCCGATTACAATCGGCGAGCAACGAAGGGGACAATGCCGCATCAAATGGCAAAGACGAAAGGATATTCGAAGCGCGGATATTACAAGGGCTGGGATACTTTGGACAAGCTTGGTCCCCCGGTGAATCGCCTGTCGAACAAACTCGGTGCGGAGGCTTTCTGGCCCCCAACTCTGGATAAGGAAAGTGATAAGGCAGCTCGTATATTGCGAAGCTTCTGCAAAGATGGATTCTATACGCAGATCGACAATGAGAGCGAGGCGACGAACGGGACAAGTCCGCGTACAACTTCTGAAGATGGAGGTGAGGGATACAAGGATACTGGGGAAAACAACACGGACACTATTGACAGACCAAAGGGGAAACAAAGGGTTGTAAAAAAGATACCGTCTGCTGTTATCAAGCAAGCTAAGGGCTTGGCAATATTTACAGCAATGAGAACAGGCCTTTGGCTGAGTGGAGCTGGAGGTAGCGGGATTCTTGTCGCGAGGGTCAAGGAAACGGGAAAATGGAGTCCTCCGTCAGGAATCATGTTGCATACCGCAGGACTTGGGTTTCTGGCTGGCGCCGATATCTACGATTGCGTGGTTGTCATCAATACTTACGAGGCGTTAGAGGCTTTCAAAGCGGTACGATGTACACTTGGCGGGGAAGTCAGCGCTGCTGCTGGCCCGTTTGGTGTGGGAGGTGTGATGGACTCTGAGGTACACAAGCGACGGGCTCCGGTGTGGACATATGTCAAGAGCAGGGGGTTGTATGCAGGGGCTCAAGTAGATGGTACGATCGTAATCGAGAGGAGTGACGAAAACGAGCGTTTCTATGGTGAGCGAATCGGTGTGGCTGATATTTTAGCGGGTAAAGGAAGGCATCCGCCATCCTCAATAGGAACATTAATGGAGACAATAAAGGCAGCTCAGGGCGATACCGATGTTGATGAGACAATGCTTCCACCTCCAGGTGAAGCCCCTGGAGATGCTGATGTGGAAACCGATATATTCGGTATTCCCCAGCCTGAGGATCAGGATCCGTTTGGCGTCATGGCGTTAGAAAAAGAGGGTGTACTAATTCGAGAAGCCGGAACGAAGCGCATAGCCAGTGCTGATATGTTTGAATTCCGACCCAGTCCGTCGAGCCCATTACACAATCGATTTTCAAGATCGAGTATTGAGAGTTCTCCGAGGGCTAGTTGGCGGAGCAGCGTCCAGAGCACTGCAAGCGCTGACAGAGGCACACAGACGGACGATTTCGTCTATCAGCAACCCCCAAACACTCCCCCAACCACTCCACCAGGGACTCGCCGGCCTTTTTCAGATAGTTTTAAAAGGGTACCATCGGTGAATCACCATATCTCGTACGTGGGTAACTCTTCTAGAGTCGAAAGTATGCCGCCTACCTCCAACCGGGGAGGATCCGTCGTTATTCAGGATCAATCTCTCCCTGGAGTGTTGAGCCCAGCTCATCCTACCAGCCCGTCTTTCGCCCGTGCTCGGCTTATTACCATTCCCAAACGCACTCCTCCCCCATTACCACCTCGGAATGCCTTACGCATCTCGTCGATAAGTGAACCTGGTCCTGGGGTATTAGAAAGAGAAACAGGGCCCCCAATTGGAAGTTATGCGGATGCCGAGATACTTGAGGTACATGGAAACATTAAAAATGGCAAATCTATGAAGCATAGTTCTGTTACAGAAGTACCATCAAATCAAAACGATGACTCGTTAAATAAATACGAGTCGATTCAAGATAAATGTGAGGCAAATGCACCTAGAGAAGAACCTAACCCCGCAGAGGAAAAGGAATCGTCCGACAGAGACCATATGCCAGGAAGAAACAAATTACAAGCAAATGGAATTTCGGAGGAAGTCCTGAATAAAAATTCAGCAAACATGTTGGCTGAAGAGGAGGGCGCCTGGGAGGATACATTTCTAAAAGAAATGGAGCGGATAGAAAACGAACGAACAGGCGGGGAGGTGGAATCCGCACACGAAATTGTAGTTGCTCAATCTGATGCGCAGCCGCTTCAGACACAGTTTTCAGGCGAGCACAACGAGGAATTCCATTCAACTTCTACGTCTCCAACTCCCCCAAAAATGGGGAAGATGACCCGGAACAAAAAAAAGTGTCAAGCTGCAAATGAAATGAGCA